AGTTGTATGATTACTGTAAGCAAACTAGCATTTAACTCATTGTACCAACATATGAAAGATGTTGTTTCTTTCATGATGTATACCATATTATATACAAATCAAATAAAAAAATGATATTTATCTACTTAAAAAAAAAAAATAATAAGTTAACTGGTAAATATAATACTCTATTTTAAGTATTTGTACTTGTGAAAACAATGGCAGAAAATTTGTATAAAACAAATTTGTACATATCTAATATAATAAATCTTGTACAACAAGATATATGCCAGTAGTTTAAATATATATATATACAGTATATATATATATATTAAATAGTATAAATTAAATCAAACAATAAAACTTTAACATACTGTATATTTTATTAATAATTTTATATTAATTGGATTGTCAAATGATAATATTTGAATTGATAATATATGAATGAATAATATTTATAATTTATAATAAATTTATTATTCAAATATTTATAAAAATAACAAATTAATTTTGTTTTATTTTTAATTTATGATTTATAAAGTCAAGTGATTTATTTATGATATTTTTATTAAAAAACCTAATAAAGTTTCAAATATAATGACCTTTTGATATTCAATGTTAAAAAAAAATCATCAAAAAATCAAATTTTAAATGAAATTATAAATGATTTTAAAAATATTAAATAAATATTAAATAAATATATATATATATATTATTTTATAATAATAATGAATTTATTTTTAGTAAAAAAATTGTCGTTTTTTTTTTCAGTACTATATATACAGCATTATTATTATTAAAAAATTACGATTTCTGTAAAGGGCATTAAATCATCTTTAGGTAATTTTGACCATTTTGGTAATGTAAAGTTAACAATTTTAATTATATATGTAAAAATAAATATAAAAAATATTGTGAATCTACACAGATAGTAGTGTTTCGCAAATCGTTTAGAATACCATAAACTATCTATTACACGCTCATCAAACATATCAAAAGTTTAATAATAGTGATGTGTCATTTTTACGTAAATTTTTGAATATAATCACGTATTCCAAATCTTTTTAACCCATTACATAATTTTTTTTAAAAAAAAAATATCATTGACTTTCGGATATAACAACAGTCAAGTCACCTTATATTGAACCTCACTACACATGTAATAATTCAATGTCAATTAACATTTTCTACGCAAGAATCACATATAAATATATGCACGTGAATTCTCCATATACTAACCTTCGTCTCAATTAAATAACTAGGATTTAACACACGCACAATCCCCAAACATTGACGATGACATACATGCTATTAGTGTCATGTCTGTAAGTGGTGCTTCCTATAATAGCCAATTGAGTTAACTATAATTAACTTGATATGATTAAGGACGAAATTTTGAGTTTACCATCGAATTTGGCATCCCAATAACAAGTAGTGGTAGCATGGATACCCGCTCCGTTCCTTTCGAGGATCGTGCAGGTTACTATCAGAAATAAATTGCGGGTTTAAAAGATATTAGTGAACAATATTTTACCCAGGATCAATGTCTACACAATCGTACCAATATACTTGAAGGATTTATTCAATTCGGATAATTTCTTTACTACATTTTTTCACAATAGCAGCGTTCCAGATTGATATTCTACTATGGAGGTAAGCAGAGTCTTGCAATATTGTATCTTCTACAACCTCGATTCATGATAAAAAAAGAAAATAAGAAATGGAAAGCGACCGATGGTATTTATGTGGAATCTGATGAATTCGTAAATACCTCTTTAATGATCCCCTTAATCTCATCTTCGCTAAAGGTTTTTTTCGGGTCTTTAAACTAAGTTATGTGGGAAAGGGATATCGAAAAATTAGCAGTATTTCGAAGTGTGTGGTCGTGTGAAGCATTGAAGCTTCCGACAAATCACAACTAAAAAAATATTTTAAAATTAAAACCTCGCCACTGAATCGATTATTGGTATCACCGATTGATTCATCGAACCCAGAATGTACAGTTTCCATTACTTATCCAACAAAAAAAAAATTGAAAAATTATTACCTTATTCACATGTCATCATTAATAGGTAATACGCGTGTACTACAATATGCAAGTGATCTATAGATCTCTTAATTTTTCACGTGACAAAAATATTTAAGTGAGAACTGCGCTTTTATGTGACCATATGTGTGTAAGCCCCCAAGACACAATAGGTATTCACTGATTTACATAGCCCAGTATGTACTACAAATTACTGGCTAATCTTGTAGTCCCATGATTGGCATTATAATTTTGGAAAAATGGTCACAGGCCATATCACAAAAGCCCACTGCTAAGTTTATGAAACATTCGAACAAAGCTGTAATATATGTTTATTCTTGTGTGCCTTCTGTCCTCTACCTATTTTTTTATCTTGTCTCCGTTATTTGAAAATCCTGAAACTGCGTTTAACAGATCTTTTTTCTATATATGAATCGTGTTTCTTGCAATAATGTCACGTCATGACACTACACAAGCGCCTTCTAAAGCAAGCTTAGTTGCCTGGTGGAAACAGTTCAAGAATGGGAAAGGAGATAAAGACGGAAAAGGAAAAGGTATTTAAGATTTTTAATTTAAATCTCGGAATTAAATGTTGAGGTCAATTTTAATTTTTCCTTTGTTCTTTTACTTTTGTCTTGATTCGGATTCTTCAGGTAATCGGAATATATTCGGTGTTGATCTCAAGGAAGGTATAAGATATGCGAGGGTTCCTATATGTCTTGCCGGACCTAATGGAAAGCAGCCAGTATGTGGGTACATACCCACAATCGTCGCCAAATGTGGGATGTATCTAAAAGACCAGGGTGAATATGATTACTTCTTGCCTAGTATTCTCGTAATGTTTATGCACCAACAAATTATTTAATTGTTTTTTTGGAACCTTTTCATTTATCTTTGTATTGTAGCAACGACGACAGAGGGCATATTTCGCTTAAACGGATCTGCAAAAAGGATAAAAGAATTGCAAACAATTTTCGATTCACCTCCAACATATGGAAAAACTTTAACATGGACAGGATATTCCGTCCATGATGCTGCAAATGTACTGCGAAGATATCTAAATCATTTGCCAAACCCAGTTATTCCACTTAATTGGTATGATGCGTTTCGGGAGGTTCACAGTAAGCATATTTTCAATAAGTCAATATTTATGTGCCATTTGCTACGTAATGAGATTGATTAATGTTAACATGCGGTTTTATCCAGTTACCTATAAAGATTCGCATAGTCGAGTGGAACATTACATAAAGTTGATTCAAAAACTACCAAAAGAAAATCAGCAATTACTCCTTTATATTCTTGACCTACTCGCAGTTTTTTCATCAAAATCGACACAAAATTTGATGCCATCAAAAAACTTGGCTTCAATATTCCAACCTGGAATCCTCTCACATCCTGCTCACGATATGGCCCCTGAACAATACAAATTATCACAGGAGGTGCTGGAATTTTTAATAGATTATCAGAATTATTTTTTGCCAGGCGGTGAAGCTTTAAATGAGAAAGATAACACGTATATAAACAACGAAAAGTCTCACGTGCTAGAACCCAGTGGCCTAAATGAAATGATCGTTCCACCCCTGCCAACAAGACGGTCGAGTTTAAGTCTTGAGTCACTGAGATCAAAGTCAGAAGAGGACATGGAAACTCCAGAAGACCTCACACCAAGTGAACCCCCTTCAGCAAATTTAGATCGTAAAGCATCTAATAAATCTAATAAACTCGGTAGAAGTAAAACGCTGCCCGGTAAAAAATCAAGAAATAGTGGGGGTCAAGGAAAAAAGGTTGATGAAAAGAAGGTAGTTGACGGTTCTAACGGTAATATATAAAAATTCTGTCCATAGCTATCACGTTTTAGTTGATTGCGATAATTTTCCTCAAAATTTTGCTGTGTCGACATTAAATTATCACGGGAAGAACGATTCATTATATAGCTTGGTAGATAGCGAATTCAAAGATTACTGTTCTCCATATTTTTCTCCCATATTAACGAACTATCGATATTTATAACGGAAACATTATTATTCATAAATATATACGCAACTTCTACATCAAACAACAATTCATACATACAGTATATATATATTGACACCATTTTTCTCTTTATTATAATTTATGTTATGGTAAATTCTTACCGACGTTCCTTTAATAACATGGGCTTGGACAATCTTTGTGTACAAATCAATAAAATAAATGAATAAAAAAACCATTCATTCCTTGCATGTTCATACACATGGTATATGATTGAAACTAATCATCTGTTTTTATTGCTCATCGGTTCACACTCGACTTTCGTGACACGATCCTTGTTCCACGGTTAGTTAAACCCTCGAAAGAAAAAAGCAGATGGCATAAAGAGAGTCGCACGAAAAACACCAATTCTATCTCGACTAAGGTCTGACGATAGCATCGAGATATTTGAAGATCAATTAATAATAAAAATTTAAACCTTGTTCGATTTTTTTAGAAAGTAAAAATTATAAATTTAAAAATTCGATTATAATTCCTTATACAGTATACATATTTTAAGGTATATACTGCATATTAAAGAAAGAAATATCAATAATTCTTCAAGACCATAAATACGATTCTAAAACATAGTAAATTAAAAAATATTGTCATATATAATATATAGTATATATATAATTTAACTGTTTTATAGAAATCCGTATATACTGTAAGTTGTTTATTGGATTTAAACATAAACATAAATCAAATTGAAATATTATCGTTATCCTTTAATTTTAAACTATTTAAATTCTTATTATAATGAATAAAATTCCTTTTTTTTTAAAAAGGTGAAAGTGCTTAATGGATTTTTTTTATTGAAAAATTTATACACTAGTTCAAATTATATTATTGGCTGCTGAATTATGATTGATTTAATTCAAACTTATCAATAAAATATATGCCAAAATTTACAGTTTGATATAATTTATACCACTTGATATTTAAAAAATATACAAGAATTTGGCAATAAAAAATATAATATTTGAATAATTTAATATATTAATGTTAATAATTTTTTAGTTATAACAATTTAATATAAACAATATAACAAAATTGTAATAACATTAATTAATTAATTGTTATAAAATTTGTTAAAATTATTTGATATTATATAATTTAACAAAATTAAAAAATTACAATTTACAAAAATTAGATTTATTATTATTTTTAACTATTTAGTACAATAATATATATATAATAAACTAACAATTTATTGATAAAATATTAAAATTTTAACAAAATAAGATTAAATATATTTTTTAAAAAACTAAATATATATATATTAATAAATAATTTTATTTAAAAAATTAAATTAAAAAAAACTAAAAAAAAAATTACATATTAATAATTATATAACAGTAATTTAAATAAAATTTTTTAAAGTATAGATAATTAAAAACTATATATTTTTTTAGAATATGTATATACAAATATTATCAAAAAATATAAAATATATAAAAATAATAAATTTAATAATTTTATTATTTTTATATTAACTGATTTTTTAAAAAAACAAAATTCTATATATTAAAAATAAATATAGTTTAATTATAAAAAAAAAATCAAATTTTAAATAATTTTTTCAAAAAAAAATTAATAATTAATCTTTGGTACTTTGAATTAAACTGATTGGTAATTATTTTTATATTCTTAATTATATCTCAAAAAGTCAAATAAAAATTTGAACAAATAATATTATTTATATTAAGTTAAAACATATAACAAAAATAATTTTAATAATAAAATATTTTTTTTTTGTAAAAAAAAAACAAAAAAAAAAACTTAAAATAATATAGATTAAATAAATTAATAAAAAATCTTAAGAATATTATATAGAAATAAAATTTTTATTAATATTAAAACAAGAAATTTTATTAAAAAATTATGTGAAAAAATATTTTCATAATATATTTAATATATAATTAAAAATATTCAAAAAAGAAACTCAAGATCTTTAAATTGATATTTAAATAATATTATAAAAATAATATATAAATAAGCAAAATTTTTTTAAAAAAATATTATAGATATCTGTTTATAACTTTTTTAAGAAATATATATTATAGAATAAATATTAATTATAATAATATTAAAAATTAAAAATATTAAAATTAAATTTTTATTACATAATTTAACAAATTTTAGTTTTAAACAAATTAGAAAAAAAATATAAAATAACATATAATTATAAAAAATAAAATAAAAATAAAAATAACATATGTAATATTAAAAAAATAAATTTATCAAAATCATATAAAAAAAAAGAATCTATAAATAAAAAAGCAAAAAATATATAAAATATAAACTTTATTTATTTATCAATATAAATATATTTTTTTCTTTTATATAAAATCAAATTTTCATTATTATTTAAAATTATATATTTATATTGAAATAATAATTCAAAACATAAATTAATAATAATTTTTTTAATTATAATATAAAATATTTTTATATATTATTTTTTTTTATAATTATATTTAACAAGTTAAAAGAATTTAAAAAATTTCAAATAATTAATATTATATTATAATTATTTTATAAAGTTTATTTTTTTTTATAATAAAATAATCAACAAAAAATTAAATTATATAAATAATATAATAAATTAAATATTAATAATATATAAATTAAATATAAATCTATAAACTTATTAATAAACATATAATAATTGATAAAATATATATTTAACTGAGATATAATAATCTTATTATATTATTATATTTTAATTAAATATTAATTAAATTATAATTTAATTTTTTTTTTTTTTATATTTATTATACTTTCACTTAAAAGATAAGGTACAATAATCAATAGCACAACATACGTCTCTCTTTGCTAAAAAGAGTTTAATATAAGGCTCCCATATGAGGCCAGACTCCTGTACTATTTTAGCACCATCCAAGGAATATAGACAAAAAGAAATTTAAAAATCTATATCTAATTATGAATAGCATCCAGCTACCTAGAATTAAATGAATACTTAATCATATGAAGACGCTGCAGCCAATCTATACAGATTGGCCTCCAAGTCATAATTAGGATTGGCATGCCTGCTTTCCAAATATGATTTAATGTACGACAAGCAGAGTGG